ATTACAAATTAATGCCACATTTAACAACATGAACCTCAATGTTTTTGCACTCTATTCCGTTACCTCTTACTATCAACAGATTACTTGGGGAAAAAATAACTAGCACTTGCAAATCAATATAGCATCAAACACAAGTAGCATTAACCATGCAAAAGGTCTATCCTCTACCTGGAAAGCAAATAATGGATTGGCAGCAGGTCAATTTGGAATTATTTACAAAGAATTAGAAAGAGTTATTCATATCATCAGATTCCCAAAATAGAACTAAGCTACACCCTGACTACTGTAGTTTTCCACCCAAAATATACATAAAACAAAGATCAGCTTCCTCGTGTATGTCCGTCAAGGGAAGAAATTAGGCGCCAAAAAAGATAGACAGGGTCTTGGGACAGTAGATATAAAGGAAGTCGGCCAACCAATAATTCTGTCATGCAGGAGATTGCAAGTAAGCTCGTTTCTTATTTATAATGAAATTAAAGAGCATAATAGTCATTCTGTCAAGCATGATAGCTACAGAGGATGAAAAACCAAAACAATTACAGAGACTAGAAATAACCTCAATTCTATCAGGATCAACATCCACATCTGTTATATCTTCCACTTGTTGATCTAGCAAAACTTATTGGAGTCGAGTTCATCCACAATAACATTACCATTTGAATCATCCACTGAGATGGGATTTTGACTTAGAACATAGTCAGGTACCAATTCCAAATATAGTAGAGCACCCCTGTGGTGACACAAACAATTTCCAACTTGACAACCAAAACTTTCAAAACAGAAGTTTTAGTGATGAGTTATGCCACAAAAATTATGAATACTAGCTAAAAGCAAATTGGTTACAATTGAAACTAAGATATAAAAAAGTGTTAAGGCCCCACTTACTGAAGAGAGGGAAAGAAAAAACAACAATCCAATTTCAAATAACAAATTGGTAACAACTGAAACTAAGATTTATTATAGCATTAGGCCTAAGTTACTGTAAAGAGAAGAAAAAGCAGTTGTTGTTTTCAAAGGAATTCCTAAATTTTATATTAAAGGTCTCCGGGTACTTTTATTTCGGAAAATAAATATATATTTATATTTAAAAGCTTGTCTGGGAGACAATAAATATTTTATAATTTAAGTAGATAACGTATCAGTGACGGAAATTTCTTGGGACAGTGAATTTGATGTCAGCCACTAATTGTAGTGTTTATAATTTGTGCCAAACGTATACATATGTATATACATATACATATATATATATATAGAGAGAGAGAGAGAGAGAGAGAGTGAGAGAGAGAGAGCGCATCTGAAACTTTATTTCCAATTATTAGCACTTTTGGCAGCTTATTGAAAATGAAAGAAGTGGCAATAAATCCCATTATAGCACATGACAAACACTGGCCAACAAATGAACTTACTTGTAACACATGCAATGTAATCCTTTAAAAGAGGCAAATGCATCAGCTGGTTCAACGAAGATAACCTAAAGTATCAAGAATGACATAATCAAAAAAATGAAGATACTTTTTGATTAAACTAGAAAGACAGCACCTTCATATCGAACTTTTATGGATGAAGACAGTCCGAAGTGCAGCCACGACTGATCAATATATACTCTTATAAAAACAGATCTGTCTCTGACGCAAGAAAAATGCAACAATAATAAAAGGACAGAAAAATTAAATCTCTACTTTATTATTAATATATATTGATCATTGCTGCCAAATGTTAAGCACTTCAAGCCCGACTTTGTAAGATCAGAATACAGCATACATCCAAAAATCAAATACTGAATCATCTAGAGAAACCAAAAAAGAAGGAAAATGAAATTGGATACCAAAGCCAAGGTTTTTGTGGGAGGTAGAATGACTTTCTCCAAATTGCCAAATTTCCTGAACGTATCAGCCAGTTCACATTTAGATGAACCATAAGGCAAGTTCTTCACCAAGATAACACGACTGCTTCTATCTAAACCATCAGTTTTCCAGGAGGCAGACTCTAATAAGGCAACATTGATTCCAGCATTTGAAAGAGCTTTCTTCGTCTCTGCAATCACTTTAGTTTCTCCCAATGCAACTCGCACAGCAGGATCATCAGCTTCTCTATCTAGTAACTCACTTTTACTAACACCAAATTTCCGTGCAATGTTTTCAACAACCTACAGTGATAACGAACTGATAAGAAGACCAAGGTGAACTCAGAGACTGTTAAAAATTTAATGTAAAAATTCATGCAGCACAAGCATTGGGTATACACAGGAGAGAACTGAAGGGAAGTTACTGTATTCGCCTAAGGGGAAACAAGTGCACGTATCAATAAAAAGCTGCTACTATCATGGTCTGTTTACTGCATTTAAGGAGTCTTCTATGGTGTTCTTGATCAAGGAAAATTCTAAATCATCTTGAAAGAATTAATCCCAGGGCCTATCTCTGAAGTTTAGATGAGAAAGACTTGGGAGATGGAAGAATAAGGAATTTAATTCATCAAGTACATTCCAATACAATGAAGATTGTACTTATGCCACGTGGGCTAGTCGGCAAACACAGTCAACTCTCTAACCAATAGCATAAATTTACTTAGTGATGAACCAACTAATTGCTTGCACACCCAATTATTCAATTGATATAAACCTCTTTGTTCCAGCAATTAACTTTAGGCTCTACCCACAAAATTTTGGTGTTTGCGATCCAAAAGCGGAATATCAAACTTCATACTTGCCTTGCCCAAAATCAAACATCAATTTAATACGAAACCGAACTGGCTCTCCCAAGAACTGTCGAACTTGGCTCTGATACCAGTTTGTTCTAGATAAAGCGGGAATAATATGGTAATACGAAAAATAAACAATCACAAGAACATCAAGATTTACGTGAAAACCCAATTTAGGAAAAAATCATGAACAGGGGAGAAGAATTCACTAATAATCAATAATGGAAGATTACAAAGGATCTCTTTGTACCAAACTAATAAATGAGACAATTGATCAATCTCAACATGTGTTATAATACATCACATATTTATAATACTAAGAAGAGTCTAAGATAAGATAATGTCCTAATACAATAGGTAAAACTAATAACGGAGTATTTGAGCTGAAATAGAAGTCATCTCCTTTTCCAAATTGGACTCCTTCAAGTCTTCTTTTACTTTTTCAAGACTTCTCCAACATAAATTACCAATTCCTAATAGAATTCCAAAATAGAATTCGGGATAGAATTCCCAAATTCTAACACCACTAAAGTTTGAGTTAATTATGGTGGCAGATCTAAATGTCAGCCAAATTTTTCGTGACTACAGTTTCAAAAATACAACATTCTAAAAATTGCCAAGCATAGCAGCATGCTAACAATAATCGATTTCAGGGGTAATGAAGACACACTTTGAGTCCATGCCAAACCACTAAAAATAGATGACACAAAAATGTAAAAGCTGCCTTACAATTTGATTTCATCTCAAAATTCATTAGAAGCATTTTAAATAATGGAATACACAAAAATCAAACTAAAGATACGTATCTGAAAACATATTTTCCCATCCATGAGAATCCTAGATGAGAAGAAAATAACGGACATAAAACATCTATATACAATTTCAAAGATCGACTATAAAACTAAAGATACGTATATGAAAACATATTTTTCCTTCCATGAGAATACAAGATGAGAAGAAAATACCTGACATAAAACATTTATATACAATTTCAAAGATCAACTCCAAACTTACTGTGTCAGTTCGCATGAAAAAACTATTCCATCCTCGCATATTTCCACTAGTTTCAGATGCCTTCCTTTCCTCATTTCTCTGTTGTTTGAAAGTCTTTGACAATTGTTGGGTAGATTTATTGATTCTGCAGATGAGAAGCACCAGAAGACAAACTTAAGTCAATGAAAAAGGAAACGAAACTTAACCCCCAAAAAATTAACCCAAAAAAAAAAAAAAGAAAAAAAGAAACATAAAACATTAACTGTTTTTTTTGTAGGAAACGAAACTAAAGTCAATGAAAAAGGAAACGTTGAGAAATATTGGCAAAAATGTTCAGATACTACATACTCTTGCTTATCTGAAGGATTCTTCTTTTTTGGACGCCTGATATGCAATAATCTCCCTTGAAAACTTGAATAGTTCAACTTTTCTAAGGCCCTGAAGAAAGCATCAAACAGTACAGCTTTTGACAATGTTGTTGTACAATCAAATCAATACTCGTCATCATAATTATTCAGAAGAATATATTCAATAAAGTAAATGATGTAAAGAATCCCAACCTACAACATAACCACGGCAAGTTAGAAAATGCTATTGTTGGGTGGGGTGGGGTGGGGACGGGGGGTAGAAACGTCTAGCAAAAGATGCAAGGATACTCTCATGACTAAAGGAAATCTATGTAAACAAGAAAAGGCATTTAGAACATGGTGGATTGAACAGGACAAAGTTATTGATTTTTTTCCCTTTACTATGAGATAATAGTCAGAGACTGAAAGCTTCAAAATCCTTGAGACATTAACTTTTGTTGTGAAATGATTAGAATAGCCAATTTATTACACAGTACATTAAAGAGTAATCGTTATGCTGAAGTCATAGAGCTTATGCTATAACTCTGGTCTCTACCCCAGGAAACATTACCTAGCAGCAGATTCTGGAAGAAGATAAAAAACATAAGCACTGCCCTTGAAATGTTTTGTATCTTTATCAACGACAAGATGGACCTGTGAGGTATCACCAAATTTGCTGAAGTGCTCTTCCAACTCCTCTTCACTGTGTTACATCAGAAAGCACTTGATGTATAAGAAAAATGGAAACGGAAAGAAACCGATAACAAATAGCTATTGGCACAGGGATCGAATTGTACGTAGCAGTGTAAGGCAGATTACAGACGAAAAGACAGCCAGTCTCAATGTTTCCTTCTTTATCTTTTATACTTGATGATGGGAGAGCCGAGTTGAATATTTTGTTACTATATTTTTCGAAGGAGCCATCTTCATCTTCTACCTCTGAAACGTCATGTTTGAGTGTATCCCCAGCAGTACTACGGTTGTTTCTGTTCAGAGTCTTATCACTTCTGTAACTATCATTGTCAACATCAGAATTACCACCATCATCGTCCATACTTTCTGAATCTGACCACTGTTTTTTAACTCTACTCCTGAAGTAATCCATATCAGATACAACTTCATTGTGTACTGAACTGTCTACTTTTACAGCCTCTTGATTCTCTGACAATATATTTTTTCTTACCCTAGTCCCCTTAAACTCAACGCTCAGTTCATCCAGTTTCCCATGACTACCTTTTACTTGGCGTTTCTTGTTACTAGCTTCTTTATCTTGCTCAAGAGAGGGAGCTACAGGGGCATCATTTGCCCACAATTTTGACTTGATACGAGGCTGCATGACCTGAAGAAATTCTTGAAATTTAGGGTCGTCGTTCCCATCATCCTTCTTACCCTTCTTGATCTCTCCTTTTGCTGTTGTAACTTTAGAACATTTACTACCAGTTACTATCTTTTCCTCTACCGATGAACTCTCCTGTTTCTTCAATGAATATCGACTCCATGGACGGGGGATTTCTGGATCTCCAACTTTCCAAGCAATCTGGGTTCAGAAAATATTGAAGCATGTAATAAGTGTATGCCATAGCATAATAAAGCTGATTACAAATGCAATTCAACATTCCAAGGCCTTCCACAAAAAGTCAGTTTGTCAAGGTCAACAGATTTCTTTCTTTTGGTCCTATTTAGTGAAGTATACTCAACGCACATACAATTACTGTTTCTTACTTAGACAAGTATCTTATTCCACTCAAGCTTATCTTATTCAGTAAGTGCTGTTGGGAAAAATTCGTCTACTAGTAATGCACAGCGGAATAATTTTTCCCTCGTGTGACAAAACATGATATTGACAAAGCCAAAGATCTTTAAATGCAAAAAAGAAATGGCGAGATCATACTCCGTTTCAACTATCACAAATAATGGGATTACAACTAACAATAACATCAATAAATAGTTTCTTTAAATAGAGGCACTCACTCTCTCTATTTTTCTTTCTACACAAGGTAGAGTTCTATCACAAATTTCTCTCTAATATCTTGAGTAGATGCTCTCCTTTTCTTGTCAAACTTCTGAATCTTCCTGGAATATTTGATAACATTTGTAACAAAATTGGTTTTGTCCGGTGGCGGACCGCTAAACAAGTGCCTGCATCAAACTAACTATAACAAATGGCAAAGACACAGAAAGGCAAATACAAACCTCGCAAGTAATTCTGCGAGTATCCATGAAAGACTTGTCAAAATACTTAATGGCTTCCTCCGCTTCTTGCTCTGTCCTGTACCCCACAAATCCAAACTGCCTGCTCTTCCCATCTCTGAATCAAAATTAAAGTATTTCCAATTATTCATACAGCAGAACTATAAAAATAAATAAATAAATAAATAAAATGTTAACACATATATGAAATTGAAATATTAAAAAGATACCTGGTGCGCATGAGCTTGACGTCAGTAATTTCGCCTTTTAGGGAGAAGAATTCTCTAAGGCGGTCCTCTGATACATATCTTGGCAAATTCTTCACGCATATCCGTGACCTTCGTTCCGAAAATTAATCACAAACACAATAACAAGTAAAAATTATGAATTTAGAAGAGTCAAATCAAGGACTTACATGTTTTTTAGACTTTTATTGTTTATATATCATGAATCAATAATTGGCAATAACTAATAGCTGAATGAAGGGAGGAGGAGAATTCACAATGGCTGCAAATAGGTTTAGACGGAGATGTTTTATGTACGTGAATTACTTTCTTGTCAATGGGAGATTCCTATCACCGTTTCTTTTTGTTGAAAGCTCAATATTATCATGAAAAGATTCTTTCTACGTTACAACATATATACTAATCTTTTAAATATTCTATCTTAGAAAGGTCTATATTATCCTTGATGAAAAGATTCTTTCTACATTGCAACATATATCCTAATCTTTTAAACATTCTATCTTATATTTTCCTTGTTTCGAATATTTGAATATAATTTCATTCTATGATTTAATAAATTGGAATAATATGCAACAGATTGTTCACATTTATTATTTAATATATTATATTCTTCAGAAGATGTATTCATATTTTTTAATTGAGAATACATATTTTTTTATTACTTCTAACATTCTTTCTAATAAATTATCCAATCCTTTAATTGTATATCCTATCATTTATTCAAATGATCATCAAATCATGCAATTGATCCCTACGCTACTTAGGATCTTAAAAAGATTCATTCTAATTTTAGCAAAAATTTAATAGTTTTACCTTAGGTTTGATCTGGACTTATATTATTAGAACTGAGTGACTTTCGAGCTCTGAATCTGTGACCTGCTTCCTTCAACGGCCTTTTGCATTCATGAAATTGTTACTGTTTCAGCTACTTGCTTAGGTTTGATCTGAACTTGCATTCTTAGAACCGAGTGACCTTCGAGCTCTAAATCTGTAACTTGCTTCCCTTAACGACCCTCTGCCTTCATGGAATTGTTACTGTTTCAACACTTGCTCTCACTGTATCAACTTCTAAAGAATGAAATCCTAAACTTCTGTTAATGAAAAACTTTCTTTTTGCTAAAATAAGAAGAAAACTTTTTATTAGATCTATCAAGAATCTATGAGAATAAAGATTTAGAAACTCATATTCATATAAAAAATATTGGAGTTTTATTTCTATCAGAATTTATACAAGACTTCTATTTGATGCAAAGAGATTTCCAGAAAAAACTGATTTTTCAAATTGGGAATGGGCTATTGCTTATAATTCAAGATTTTAAGATAAGATGAGATGATCTTCTTCTATGGCAATGTCTCTATTTATACAAGTTTATGAGACTCTATTACATCATTGATTACATCAGCAAGGCACACTTGCCTTTCTATTATTTTCCTCCTTGGGCTTACATGTTGCTTCAACTTTTTATTCAAAGAGCATTTTTTTCTATTATTGCTCTTATCTTCAATGTCTTCACATGTAGTTGTACACCTTTGTCAAAAGTGCTCTATAATTGTTCTCTTCATTTCTTCACATACAGTTGGGGCACTCCCTTAACTGGCAGGATTCTTTTATAGTGGTAGGATATCCTGGAAATTGATATATATCAAATCTTGTAATATAATTTTTTAAAATTTCTGATTTTGCATATCCACCATTGGATACCAGCATCCAAATTTCATATTGGCACAAGTACGAGAATTTTTTATCAAACAAATTATTGGCAATGTTGTAAATGACTTTAATTCTAAGTGCTCTTCCATGTCTGATCCATGATTTTGTCATTGTTGGGACTTTTCTATTATTCTTTGTAACATCAATTTGGAAATTGGCTGCAACATATCTAATTGAGATTATGTGTTCAACTGGATAGTAAACAACTCAATCATATTCTGGATTTATTGAATAGAATTTAAAAAATATTTTTCTTCCTCTGGCAAATCTGAATAATTCTTTGATGAATATATCATCAAATTTCGAAATTTCAATAAAATCTCTTCCTGAATATATCAAATTCATGAATTCATAGTTTACCATAATTTTTATAAATGAATGGTCACCTCCTTCCATGGCTGTTATTCTCGGGTAAACATTATTTTCCGGAGAAATGAAATATGAATCACTCATTTTTATTTCATAAGCGATTTTAACTATTTCGGCATATTTTTCTTCTTTTGGATCTAAAGGGATTTTATCTTTTTGATCTATGATGCTGATTATTTTGGTATCTCTTTTATCTCTATGTATCATCAATTTTCTTGGTTGATGATAAAGAAATGAAATCTCCTTTATTCTGGGTCCACTGCTGCTTCTAGCTGTCCCTATTTGATATTAATTTGGAAAACTCATTTCTGAGTTATTTGGTATAATTGCCTCAAACAGTATATCTTTTAGTTGAGCTGTAATAGCATCAACTTGATTTTTGAGTTCTATGACATATTTTTGATGCTCAATAGTGATATTCAGCAGTATTTTTATATTTGAGTTGAACATCTTTGAAATCTGGGTTGCTCCAGAGTTTATATCTTCAGATTCTTCTCTAAGAAAATCTGTCTCTTTTATATATATGTAACATAGATTGGTATAATTTCATGACCTTATCTTTATCCATCAGCAAATTCTATATTTCTGCTGAGAAAATCTACAAGAAAATTATTAACTTCTTTAATATGGACTATATCAAAATTATAAAATGCTAAATAAGCTTGCCATCTATGGAGCCTTCTGTATTGGGGTTTTGATGATAATTTATTCCTGACTAATCCTGTAACTTGAGAATTATCAGTTTCAACAATAAATTTAAGAATAATGAGAACTTCTTTATTTCTCTAATAATTGCTAGTAATTCTTTCTCATGAGTAGTATAATTTATTTCTGCTTGGTTAAATGTTTCACTTGAATATCTACAAATTTCATTTAGATCTGTTTTTAATATTGCTGCCCAATATTTATCTGAGGCATCAGTATTAACAATCAAATTATCTTTTTCATCGGTAGTCTTAATTTTGGTAAATCTCTGCATTCTTCTTTTAATGATTTAACTATTCCTGTATGTTCTTCATTCCATCCTTTAGTATTTATTTTTCTAAGTAAAACTTGAATTTTATGTCTTTTCTTAGATAGATTTTCAATAAATCATTCTGCATAGTTTAAACATCCTAAAAATTTTTGTATTTGTTCTTTGGATTCTAATTTATCTGGAAAACTTTCTATCTTTTTGGATATATGAGTTTATAATTTTATCCCTCTTTTATCTATTGATAATCGAAGAAAGTCTATCTCTTGTTTTTTTATTATAGATTTCTTTTGAGATAGTACAATTCCTTCTTTTTTACATTCATTAATAAATTGGATTAAATGATTTCTATGTTTTTCTTTACTATTAGAACATATTAATATATCATCTATATAAACTATTAGAAATTCATTAAACTTTTTAAATATTTTATTCATCTTTCTTTGATATATTTGTGATGCATTTTTAAAGCCAAATGGCATAACTAACCATTCATATTTTCTTTGAGGTGTACTAAATGCAGTATATTGTATACTATCTTCTTCCATTTTTATTTGCCAAAATCCTGATTTACAATCAAATTTAGAATAATATTATTTTCCTTTTGTGAGATTTATTAACACTTCTTTATTTGGTAAAAAGTAACCATCAAATTTAGTATATTTATTTAATTCCTTATAATTTATGACCATCCTAACTTTTCCTCTAACTTGTTCAGAATGTTTCATAACCATAAAAGCTGGATTACTATGATGTCCATTACTAGGTCTAATAAATTTTTGTTCTAACAATTCTTTTATCTGATTTTTAAATTATTGTGTATCTTTTATTGTATACATCATTAGTCTTACTTTTATTATAATATTTTTTGTTAATTCTATTTTGACTTTTGGGTGATGTGGTTTCCAAAATAATAATGATTTTTCTCCATAAACATTTTCTAGTTATTTAATGATTTTTTCTACATTCATTTCTATTCCTGTTTTTAGAACTTTTTTATATAATATTCTTTTATTTTTTATTTCATTATAAATAATTGATTTTTTCTCCCATTTATCACCACGCTGAGCTGGCTGAACTCTATAAGGTTTAAATTCTCTTGAAATTTTTAATAAGTGTCCACAAGGTGTTTGTAGCATTATCATATAATTATTTTGTTTATAATATTAAAATTGTTGTATGAAATCATTTCCTAATAATATATCACATTCTAACTTATCACATTTATAAATTTTATTTATTATTACTTATTTACTTCCAAGAATTATATTAACTTTATCAGTACTATTAATTATTTGAGTACTTTATCCTGTAATACTAGTTATTTTTATATTACTATTATTATTCCACGATTTTATTAAAAAACTTTTAAATATTGTTCTATCACTTCATTTATCTATTAAAGCATAAGTTGTTATATTTGTTTTTACAATAGTAATTTGTATATACACAACTAATGAAAACTTATCTGATTATTCATCTAATTCTTTTTACATAATATAGTTTGTCCATTATGAACAATATATAATCCTTCTCTTTTTATACTATAATCTTCTAATCCATTTAGAAAACTCATTCCTAAAAGTATATGAGGATTTATATCCATATTCTTATCTATGTAACATGGTACTAAAAGATTTATTCATGCTATTTTTATTGGTATTTTAACTTCTAAATATGTTATATGTACTTGTCCATCAAAATTTACATACTTATATGGTTCAATTTTATGAGTTATTAGTCCTTTATTTCTTATCGAAGTTATATGATATTCACTAGCTTCTGTATCTATTAATATATTTGGTTCATTTATACTTTCTTTTCCATTATAATATTTTCCTTCTATTTTCATATTTCCAGCATTCCTATATAGTTTTACTTCTTTTATTTTGTTGATTTCTTCTAGCTGGTTTTTATTAGGTATTTTAAAACTTTTTGATATTTTAATTAATATTCCATCCTCAAATATAATACTATTAGAACATTCTCTTTCATTTAATTCTGTTATTTCAGGTTTATTTTTTGTTATATTAAACTCATATTCCTCTGGAATTAAACTTATTTGTTTATTTGATTCTATTATTTTACTAATATCTTTACATTCTTTATAAATTTCAATATATAGTTTATTGGAATAAATATTCCCATAATTAGAATTAGTAAATGTATATAAAACTCTATATTCTATAGTCATAATTTGATCACCTGGTTGCATGATATCATCTATATGGAGTTTAAAATGT